TTAAGTCCCAGCACTATGAAGCTCTCTTCAGGCACTGCAGCACCCTGGCCAGGGATTTAACCCACATAGTGTGGCAGACCTCTCCTATCTCACCCACTGCTTCCCTCAGCAGTGTTCTTCAGTCATAATACCTGTTCTGCTCCCCACTCTGTCTGTAGTGAATCCTCTCACCCACCACAACTCTGGCCTGTACCTTAGTTCTTGTATGCATAAATAAATAAATCTTAAAAAAAAAAAAAGTAAAAATCCTACAGCTCATTCTTTACAAGTCCAGATGACTTCTTCATCAACACTGTTTTTTGCTAGAGCACAGTTAAGCAGAACCTAGAAATTCTCTAAATTGCTAAATTATTTATGAGGTTCAAGAAAAGATGCTTTTAGAGTGAAAGAACTTAGAAAGTTTACCATCCACTCTACTCTAAGAAACAATTACTTGGGGATAAATCAGTGCCAAAGCAAATCTCTAAGGAACAATGGCTTCAACTCAGGAGTGCAATTAAAAGAAATCCCAGGTTGACAGCTATGTAGTAGGCCAAGATGTTGCTTTCATCTACTTAGAAAGGTTCCAAAGGGCTCTGGAAAAAAAAAAAAAAAGCTTTAAAAAGCAAGTTGATGGAATGATTAAAGAGTTGAAAGAACTGAGAGATACAATGAAGATTTATATTTCTCCTGTCAGCAAGAATACAATGATCAAAAACCAGAGGGAGAGTCTGTATAAGAAATGTATGGTCTAGGGACCTCCCTGGTGCACAAGGGGTTAAGTCTCTGAAGGATGAAGCTGTCACCTCACTGCAGCACGTATTTGACCCCTGCCTGGGAGCTGACCCACATGGCACAGTAGACCTCTCCTGTCTTGCCCGCTGCTCCCCTCAGCAGTGTACTTCGTAGATCTGCCTGGTTTGTTCCTCAACTTCTCTGGTGAATCCTCTCACTGCCCCTGCACCTCTGGTCGGTACCCCACTTTTGTATGCATAAATAAATAAATCTTTTAAAAAAAGAAAGAAAGAAAGAGGGCTTTCCCTGGTGGCAAAGCAGGTTAAAGCACCGTATTATGAAGTTCACTGAAGCCACTGCAGCAGGAGTTCAATTCCCAGCCAGGGAGCTCACCTGCATGGTGGGGCAGACCTTTCCTGACCTGCCCGCTGCTCCCCTCAGCAGTATATTTCAGTTAATCCACCTGTTCTGCTCCCCACTCTGTCTCTGGTGATTACTCTCACCTACCGAACCTCTGGCCTGTACCCCAGTTCTGTAATCTGTAAGCATAAATAAATAAATCTTAAAAAAAAAAAAAGAAAAGAAAAGAAAAAAGTGTATGGTCCAAATTTGTAGCAAAATTAAGTACACCCTTTTTAAGCAAAGGTGAAATGAATCACTGGGCACTGATACTTAATTCGAGCAGCAGAGGTTTGGTGATGTAAGGTTAGACTGGCTTTACTTTGTTTTAAACATACTACTTCGTTAAATTTGTTTTTAAAAGTACTTGCATACACGTTTGTGTATTAAGTATTGAGCCGGTTTCCTTATCTTTTGTATCAAGAATTCAGGAGTATGACAAAAACGAGGGTTGTAAGTGTAGTTCTACTTTTTAACTTTCAACTGTGTTACACATAATTTTAAGCTATTTTCCTTCTTTGTTGATTATGTCCGATGTTAGACTTCTGAAAACACTAATGAGAGGTAAGTCACATATGCTACCAAGGCCTAGTCTTGGTCTGACTTTTGACGTTGACATCAATTTGGGAGACTTCAGCTCTTGGCATTAGGACGTGACTATAAGAGTGGAGGTAGAAGAGGCATCCAGGGGGAGAAGGCGTTGCTGCTCTGGAGTCTGGGGAACATGATCACCAGGTTTAGATACACGGAAAAAAGGGCTTATTGTTCTCTGTGATGTCAGAGAACAGAAACTACAGAGTGGCCCTATTATGAAGGGCTTTCTAGCCACCAGGGCCGTGTAATGAAGTCACTGTCACTGTTCTCACAGCGACATTGTGGAGAGAGTGCTCGTGTGGGTCCGGATCTGCTGGAGGACTTTTGAGGCTCCTCACAACTTTGTGTTCTGTGAGGCTAGTTAGAAAGAAGGTCATAGTCACATCTGCACTCTTGGACACCCAAAGGTTACAGTTTTTTCAATCAACATGAGTTCGATCCCCACGTTGAGTGTGCTTCATGTGTTGGAGATATGGAGATAAGACATGATTAGACCCCAGAAACCTTCCGGTATGCTTATTTCAGCAGGTGCTCCAGGAGTGTGTCACACACCAGACGCCCCTTCTCTGGAGACGCATCATGGCTCCTTCTCTGGGGGCTCCTGTGGCATGCAGGCTTGCTGCTGGAGCCACCACACTTCACTGCATGAGAACTGAAAAGCTCAACATAGAGTCAGCAGTGACACAAGGAAGTAGCCACAGCCAGCTTGTCACCACACCCTCTGTCACCTCATGCTGGATCTCCTGGGGTGGACTCATAACTCTTATCTACAAAACAACCAGGGCACTCAACTCCCATGCTTCTAAAATAGCAATCATTTTCTTACCAAGATCCCTTATGAAAATAACCCAAGTTGGGGCCCTCCCTGGTGAAGCCTCTGCACCTCTGGCCTGTACCCCAGTTCTGTATGCATAAATAAATAAATAAATATATGTCCTACAAACCTAATCTTAATGAATATCCTTGGACGTTAAGCTTCTGCTAAAGAGTTTCCTGAACAACTGATCCTATTAGTCCTTTGACTTCTTGTGCTTATGTAACATTCATTTGAAATGCTAGCATATTATAAAATGTTGCATTAATTAGTTTAGTACCAGATTTATGATACTGTTACAGGACATTCTGTCTACTTACATTTTGTATCACCTTATGATTTTAATTTCTTGTATTTCCCTTCAAGGGGCACCGTTTTATTAAGTGGAACTTTAAATTTAAAACTTTGTTTCTTTTTTGTTTACATATATAATTTTTTGCATTAGTTCATTCTTTTTTTTTTTTTTTTTTAACCAGGAGACACTGCTTCACTGGGGCTGAAAGCTGGAGAATGAGAGGAACACCTGAGCTAGCATTCTGAGCTCAGGAGTAGAATTAGGTTCCAAAATGGCAATCAGAGCTCGCCTACCGAATGGACTGCACTTCCCAGCATCCTCGCGATCAATAAAAGGTCTGCTGGGAAATGTGTTTTCCACTAACTCACCAATGTGCCATCATTATGGAAAAGGTACAGGCTGTTGTTGTTGTTTTCTTCTTTTTCCATCATTGCATTTCCACACCACCTCTGCAACCACAAGTAATACAAAAGAAAGTTAAAACAATCACAGTTTACAGGTCTCAGATGTGTCATCAGTATTTAGCTCAAAGGTCTCACCATCTCCAAAAGAGTTATCTTGCTAAATCTCTCTTAGTTTAGAAGTTCACCAGGTAAGAATTCTCTCCAACCTGTGACAAGATGACCTCTGCTAACCCCTGACAGTTCTTTTCCCATTTTCCCTGGATAATTAGAGCCAAACTAGAGTGAGAAGCAGGGGGTGGAGAACTTGAAGTCCTGTAGGAGGAGGCCTGGGGGTGACCAGACTGGAGAGATGTAGGGAAGGGCCACCATCCTGTATCCAGTCAGTGTCAGTGCTGGAAGAAGCAGAGGAGGGATGGTGCTGGGCTTGCGTTGGTCACATTCTCTAATGGACATACTTCTTTTTTTCATATCTCCTTGTCCATTATCATTCTTGGTTCTACCATAGCTAACTAGTAGCCAAGGGATCCTCAGGAAGCATGCCAGGGCAGGTAGTGGGTATAGGGGAAATAGAGACCATAGGGTTGGCATCCTGGGTACCCTAGCTGAGGAGACCTACCTGTGAGGACAGTTGGATCACCCTGGGGAGCCTCTGGTAGGGAGGGCAAGAGTCCTGGAGAAAAGACAGGATTGAAACCTCCAGGGTGCCATGGATATGGCTCGGGTCACCCGGCATTGGGATTCACATGGCCAGATGTTCCCTGAAACCTCTATTCCCCCTCTAGGGCTCGACTTCTCTGCCTCTGGTTTTGAGTCCTGGTCGCTGGCTTGTGCGAGTGGTTTTATTTAATGAGCGAGTTCTTCTGGCGTTTGATGCCTACAACGTTTGTCAAGTAAACTTTTCTTTTACAAAAGCTCATCTCTTCCCACAAAGCCCTTGTGTCCTCAACTCTGACTGTGGAGGGGACTAGTATTAAGGTCCCACGGGAGCCCCAGTTTGCTCTAAGAGCTGAGATGGGATTCTCTTTTGCAGTGGGTGTGTAAGCAGAACATCCACTGGGCATGTAGGATTCCAGCAGCAAACAGGAGATTTCATCAAATGACTTTTAAGTCCTTTCCTTAGATTCTGTTTGTCTCAAAAGAGGGTGTCCCATGAATCTGGTTGCTCCTTGAGCCATGGGCCTTGAACTGTGGGGGCCCATTTATATGTATAAATGCATATATGCAAATGATGTAAACTGAAGATCTCCTGATATTATGCAATAAAGTAAATGGATTTTCTCTCTTTTGTTTTTTTTATCCAAAACTCAGAGGTAGCTGAGTCACCTGTATTTTGTAACTATTTTGTGGGTTTTTAAAATTTTGTGTCCTACAGTGATCCCTTTTATCCTCTTGTCCCTTTCCCTTCCTGCCCCCTCGTAATCTCAGAGTCCTCAAAACGTTTATTGATGTGCACAGGTTTTCGAAAGTGTTGCACTGTTGAACTGTCTTGCATGTAAATTCCAGTATATTTGTTTTTGTTGTTCTGACTTACTTGTCTGCACATACTTCAGATTCACTCCATTTGGTTGAAAATGACTACGTATCATCCTTTCTTGTGTCTAGTACTCCCTGGTGTGGGTATACCACACCGTCTCCACTGAACCTTCTGTCTGTAGCCATTGAGGCTGCTACTACCTCCTCCCTGTTGTGAATAATGCTGTTGCAAATATTGTGGACCCTATGAGTGTTTGTGTTGATGGCTTCATAGTCTTTGGATATGTGCTTTTTGAGTGCACAGAGTTTGATTTTAGAAATAAAATTGTCGTCAATTTGCAATTCTCAGAGTAACAATGAAATTGTGAAGTGGCTTTTTTTCCTCACGGAGATAAATGAATGTTCCCATATTAGGGCTGAATTTAATTTCATCTATTAATTGCTATAAGAAATTTCAGCAGGTTTTTAGAGCCTTTAAAAAAATGTCTAACTATTTGGTAAGCTAATATAGTTGACCTCCAGCCATTAATATGCAGAGAATAAACATGGTTTTACAAAATTAAAAATTAAAAAGAATTTTTATTCTCATTTAGAAAAAGTGTTAGTTTTATATTTGACTTTCTATTATAGCAGCAAATTCCATAAACTTTTCTGACTTATATGCTTGTGTTTTATAAAAATAACTTTACAATTTATAAGATTCTCAAATGATTTTTCTTTAGTTTGTCATCATTGTTTAAAGTACAGATAGTCTGTGACTACTTGATTGGATTACGTATTGGAAGTGCAAACATGGTGAGATTATCTTTATTAATAATAGTGGAATTTCTTTTGCTTATAACTAACTTGTAATAGCTGAAAATTTGACCTTGAAACCTAAAGATGGGATTATCACCTTTGCTACTTAGTGTACATGTAACCCCACTGAAATGATTTCTTCACCTTGGAATTAAAGAATAACTACTTCATAGAGTTCTTATTAGAAATATAATTCTATGCTTGTGTCCAGCACATTAAGAAAGGTAGTGATTTTTGACATATAAAGAGATTTATCTTACTGTTCTTCAGAAGCCATAGCAATCGAACAGTTGCTAAGTCATATAACTGAGCATGAGCTAGGCAGACTTTTTAGCTATAAAGTCATATATTTAGCAATTGTAAATTGATTGAATTACTAAAGAATGAGTTCTGTTGAATGGTCTCATATACCATCGTGTCCACAATAGATTTTACTCCTTGACCCCAGTTCAAGTGCAGATTCCCGAGTCTTGTATTTACCTTCATGTTGAACAATTCTGCTTGTCCAAACCTGTCTTTTGACATTATGCATATATATTAGCATTATTTGTGTCCACACTAATAAGGGAGACTAGGCCTTTGTTTCTCTCTTCTTACTCTCTGTCCATCAGAATATCATGTGAACCACTGTTCAACTTTAGACTTTCTAGTAGCCACATTAAAAATAAAAATCAAAGAAAAATAATGATTTATTTAACCCAACATTCTTAGAAACAATGTAAAAAAATTAAAGATTTTTTGCATCCTTTTTCTTGTACTAATCTTCAAAATTTTGTAGTTATACCTTTAGCACTTCTTAAATCTCTTCTAACCACATTTCTGGTGCTTAATAACCACTTAGCTAAATGACTAACAAGGCCTGGTACATTACAGGCAGTTAATAAATGAGTACCCAGGCCCTCCCTGGTAACACAAAGGATTAGGATGCAGCACTGCAAGCTGGCAGCAGCCACTTCAGTGTGAATTCTACCCCTGCCCCAGAGGTGACCCACATGGCGCGGCAGACCTCTCCTGTCTCACCCGCTGTTCCCCTCAGCAGTCTTCATCAGTGTGCCTGTTCTGCTCCCCCCTCTGTCTCTGGTGAATCCTCTCACTGCCCCCACACCTCTTGCTTGTACCCTGGTTTTGTATGCATAAATAAATAAATCTTAAAAAAATAATAAATGGTACCCCATGGGCATATTTAAAATTTTTTTTTTTTTTTTTTTTTTTTTTTGCAACAGACTACCATAGCTGCCGGAGTCTTTCCGCAAAATGAACAATCATATTCCACTTTGTGATTAACAGTGGGCATACTGCAAACATGAAAGGTAATGTTTATTTAATATACTTTTGTCCCTTTGCACAAACCAGATTCAATAAAACTGTGCAAACTAGAATTTAATAAAACTAGAAGAGTAGACATGAAAGAAAAGGCTCTGTTCTTCATATTGAAATCCCCAGTTGTAGAACTTACTGTGACCTTTTGTTTTTCTGTTTGCTTGTGTTGGCCTGTTAAAATTTCTTCTCAAAATCCTGAATAATGACTTTGTCATTATTTAAGAAAGAATGTTGACTGCAGTGTCAGTCTGCTGCATGGTCCTCTTAGGCTGAAATTACCTGTTTGTCCCTTTGGTCCCTTTGCCTATTTGTGATGACCTTTACTTTCTTCTCTGACTGGCAGGGGCACCTATGTGCACATTCAGAAGCAGCTAGTCCTAGTCCTCCCCGTCTTTTTCCTCCCTTCTGTTACTCTCCCAGTTTTGCTATCTCACATGGTAGCCTGGAAAGGAAGGACGCTGTGTCTAGATTTTCGCTGCCACACTTGCCGTAACTCATTTTACTGTGACAGATCCTGAGCTGGGACCTCGCCCTGACTTCCTGTCACTGTAGACACCACTGCCCTTGCTGGTGCTACCAGCAGTTAGCCAGGAGAGATGCTGAATCTTTCTTAGCTGTGCCCTTTGCTTGACTTTCTTACGGCCCATTCTGAGTTTTGCCCAAGTTCACTTTCATGTCCCTGTATCTGAACCTTTGAGACATTTCTCCCCAAGGATGGATTAAATATAAGGAAAGGTAACGGAGCAAGGATTAAATGGAGTTCAGTATGTGCTGGAAAGTTGGGTCTCAAGTGTTGTGCTGTTGTTGACCGCTAACCCCTCCACCAGAGGGCGCTCTCGTTCATCAAGAAAGCCTTTGTATATTCCAGGTCCGTGTGTAACTCTTCTGTGTTGGGTCTGACTAAAATTACTGATGACTGCATTTGTGGACAGCTTTAACATGCCAGCCTTAGTGTAGATTTCTTGTTTTAGAAACAA